GACAACCCAGAGATTGTCAAAGCAGAAGAAGCTTCTGCAAGAGCGAAAGGAGCCACAATGGTTGCCTCAGTCCTGGTGTTTTGGAGTGCCAGCAGCACAATTTTCTTGCCCCAGAATGTCGCCAATACAGTTTTCATTCTGGTCTGCAGCTTCTTCACAGTGTATGCCGTGGCAGTCTTCAAGACTTTTATGCCAGGAACTTTCATCAAGGAAGTATCAATAGTTGCAGGAACTACTCTGTTGACTTCCGCAGCAACGTGGTTTACGGGGACGCCTAATCGGGCGGCTTGTGGCATCCTCCTTTTCACAATGGTTTCGAATTCACTTGTCTCAACCTTCACCACAAGTGTTGCTCCACCAGCATCATTCAGGAAGCTCCTTAGGAGCCCGTTCTTCCTGATTGGCTACGTGTTTTCAGTCCCGTCAACTCGGACGACTCTGGACATTCGCCTGATAACTCACGGCTTGGCAATCACTCTCGTGATTCGTCTTGATGGTCCAACGGTTTGGCTTCAGGAAGTTCTAACAAAGGGAAGGGCCAACCTGGAATTCTACGACATTTCAGTACTGGCTGTGACAGGGGCCTTGTTGTACATCTTCTTGGAAAGCATTGCAGTTGGCTCAGGCTTGACAAGGACCCCACCGAGAGACTTTCTGGCCAGACCGTCTTCCATCACTGTCCTTGGGTCCATGAGAGGGATCTTTGCTCAAAGGCAAGTTGAGTTGTCATCAGAAGTCACAGAAAGAAGGTCTTGGGAAAACAAGAGTGGCTTAGCACACTCAATCGGCAACACTGCCAGCAGCCTCCAGTCCCTCCCCACTGCAACAAGCTCAGAACTGAGCTTCTCGAGAGTACTGTCTCCCACACGACAGCTCTTGCGATAATGTGCGCAACAATCATAAGATGCGGAAGGCTTGCCCTCGAGGAGAGAAATTTCACAACCAGAGCGTCCTCGTCGACAACTCCAAGTGTGAGTCTGAGCCGTGCTCTCTTCAGTGAAATGGCACTCAAAGGACAGTTCAATGCTGTGGCGTCATGTCTTCCAGAGATTTCGCTTGCACGATGGTTAGCCGACTCCACCCGTACCCCAGGGCTCTTGAGCTTGAAGCTAGGGAATTCTGAGCGAGATCAAATCTCATTGGACATTCAGGATGGGCTCGGGATAGGGTCAGCATCAAACGAGTTGATTCGCAGGTCTCAAATCGAGAATGCTGTGAGCGCATTGGGGTTGGGGTTCGCCGAGGTGGCAGTGGAGCTCTCGGGTCTTCCGGCGAACGAGTTCAATGAGGACTGCAGTTGGGCTTTCAGCTTGTCAGCTGTCATCTTCATTGTCTTGAACCTAGTTTCAAGACCCCTGAAGGGGAGCCTAGCCAGAACGCTCAAGCAGTATGATGGCGTATCTCCTCTCTTGACCAGGATGAAGTGGATGTGGACTCCGAACTTCTTACCCTCGAAGGCGAAGAAAGCTCTCCTGAAGGTCGGGCAGGTGGCGTACAAGTGTGTACCCATTATACAGTGGTAAACTTGCCACCAGAAGACTTCGCAGAGTTGGCTGAGGCCTTCAACATGGGAGTCAAAACAGTGGCCGTTGCGTCTCCTGAAGAGGGAACACCTGGTGAGGATCGGAATCCGGATGAAAGTGTCGGCGAAGCTGCCCAAGTCCCGGAAACCACAAGAGAGCGGTTGAACCGGCTGACTGAGTATTTCGAGAAACGCTTAGCTGAAGCTGATGAAGGAGAAGACGAACCACCTGACGAAGAAGGAGTTGTTGAGGAAGAAGAGCAGGACTTGGGTCCCGAAGCAGCTGCAAAGGCGAAAGCAAAAGCCAAGCCTAAGGCTCGTGCTGCAAGAATGGGTGGAGCTGAAGATGATGATGAGGACGAAGGCGGCTCGGATGCCGACTTGCCAGCACGAGACCCAAGGTCCAAGAACTTCGCAGAGCTAGCGGGCATCAGACGCGTCATCATTGTCGAGTCGGAAGGGCTTGGTTTGATCCCATGCAGGACAGAGTTCGGTGAAGCTTCTTTGCATCAGTTCTCGGCCATGGCATAGTTGGCCTCAACCTTGCGAGGGCCGGTGTGCAGGTCTCTTCGGTGATGGAGAACCTTTCCGATACCGCTTCAAGGGCCGGTTTTGCCCTCTCAGGCCTTATGCTCTCTTAGATGATTGAACCTGGCATGAGACCTTGACGCGTGGACTTTTTGAAAATGACATCATCTGAGGGATCGTTAACACTAAAAAAAAAATTACTTATTTAGATTTCGCGTACTACGCAAGTTGGGGGACACGAGGTGCTGTACAAACATGCTAGTGCTCGTCAGAGTAGCGTGAAGGCCTGGGGTACTTAAGGTTTCGTTCGGGCTTGTCCTTTGCGCTTTGACGAACACTTGCTAGGAACCGGGCTACTGACGAGTGTGTAGTCTCCCTTTTTCTACGGTTGCTACTTGTGGTTGTCTTGTCGTTAGGGAGACTACATGTTCCTTGGAGGCCCACGAGTCTTTTCTCCTGAGTTCGAACTCTAAAGTCATCCCTGCGGTGCGACTTGTCAGCTGGGCGGGTGGGAAAAAAAACTGTTGCCTAAGCCCTAATTTTAGGGTTAGGGTTTAGGATTAAGCCCTATCCCCTCAAGTTCTATACAGCATTAAGGCCCTACAGCCTAAACCCTCAACGCGGAGTTATCGAAAGTTCGGGGCACGGAGCTTTTGGTCAACGGTTTCAAGTTTCAAACCATTGAGGCAGGGAGCTTCACTGCATTAATGTTGGAGAAGGATCGAGGCTCGGGGGTTCTTTTTTTTTGGCCGTTTAGTGGGCAGGAGATATGACGTGCACTAGACGTTGTATCTGTGTATGCGTGCCTTTGCTGTGTTAGCGAATCGGAAGGATACGGACCAGGCCTTGGGATGAGAAGTTGTTCGTATGAGGATTGCAGTAAAATAGTGGCCTTGAGCATTACCTATACTATTTTGGGGGATTCCCTATTGTAATTATAGTATGATATACCCCAAAACCCTATTCCAATTATTAACGCCCCTACATTACCCACTACAAGAGGAGCCATGCGCAGGGGCTACAATTATCTAGTACTTAGAGCTTTAGCTTCGCCTAACCGTCAAGGAGCAATGAGGTTCTAGGCTATCTGGGATTCCAGTGCTTCCAACATGTCAAACTCTGATCAGGCTTCTTTTTGTCATTTCCTAGCTCGGCAGACGACTGCGTCCACGAGCACGGCTGCTGTCGGATTTAAAAATCCAAAGCTGGAGGCGTTGCAAAGTGTGGAGATACGGAGAGAGGGAGAGAGGGAGAGAGCGAGAGGGACAGACGGAGAGAGCAAGTGAGAGACAAGGAGAGATAAGGAAAGACAAAGAAAGACAGAGAGAGACAGGTAGACAAGGAGAGACAGGCAGAAAGAGAGAAAGAGGGTGACGGACGGAGACAAGGACAGAGATGGAGCGAGCGAGTGAACGCCAGCCTTGCGCCACACGCTTGGCGATGCCTAGGTTTTTCTGGAAGGAAAGGCGATGAAAAGCAGCGGAGCCGAAGCAGAAGCTTGAGCAGCAGTTGAGACTTCTATAGGTTCCAGGTGGTTGCTGGGTTCGGCGACATCGAAAAAGCATTTCAGAGAATAGCACGAGTTCTTCGTGGCCTATGAAGCCCTGGAAGTGTGGATTTGTTTATGGGCAAGTAGGAACCGGCTGAAACCTGAGGAAGATGCACATTCCGCAGAAACCGCTTAACACCCTATGCGCCGTAGTACAAAACCGTTTCACCCCCGAGGCAGCCGCGGAAGAAAGCGACGCAGAAGCAGGAGCAGGAGTAGCTCCAGCAGCAGCAACAGCAGCAGCAGCAGTACGTCCAGACCAGCCCCATCGCTGTCACGCGAGAAAGGCCGACATTCTAGGCTCATCATGCTGCTCAACCCCAACACCCAGAGGCCCACATGTTTCCTGAATCTAGCACATGCAAAGCCCGCCAACATTTCCTGAGTGCAAGGAAACAACTGGGGCCCTGCAGTGCGACCGAATCTAGCGGACGGGATGCAAACGACCCTGAAACTATTGAGCTTCAAAACACTTCAAGTCCGAAAAGCCAACATCTAGGGCTCCAGATACTTAAATAGCCGGTTACCAACCACATATTATATAACCCAGTAACCCAGTATTTAGATCACTGGAGCCCCAGGGAAACTCTGTAATCAAGCTCCAGCACCCCAAATGGCGTCAAGCAGCTTAACCCCAGGAATCTCAGGATTCATGCGTGTAGGCTGGGCAGTACGGCAAGAGGGAGCTCCAGCGTATGTGTGATGAGCCGTGACGCTGGCCTTGATGTTGCACTTCTTGGATAGTTGTAGGCTGGCCTTCCGCAACAGCTAGAGGACCACTGGTCCCACTATACTTGCATCGATGATCATGTGTTCCTTGCTTGCGAGTGAGCATCCTCAGCGGGCCCAGATTATGGAGGAACCGTACCAGGATTGATGGAGGAACCGCAGGCTTCAGGCCTCGGTCTTGCCGGAGCGATTTGACAAGGGTAAAGTCATGTGGGGTTTAGGGTTTAGGGTTTAGGGATGTGTGCTTATTGAGTTAAGACGGGCAACTTGTTCGCATGACGATCCGAATGCTGCAGGGGCCCTGAGGTATGTTCAACACATGGTCGCATCAACAAAAAGCATGGCTACCGACGATACCCTGTGCACCCTCCAACTTTCTCTTTCCCTCCAAGCTGTAACGGGTTGCAACATCGTCGCTGGCATTTTTCTCTGTCCTCTTATGTTCTATAGTTTAGACCAGTTAAGTACGGTGTGGGTTTTACTCATGTTAATATGGGGGCCCGAATAAGCTGGTACTGTCGCCCCCGGAAATGTAGGCCTATATCATACATGCACGACGCATCATAATCCCGTACCAGACCCCAAGCCCCTATTCTGCCTGTATGCCCTTATGTTACTGAAAGCTGGAGGCCCCTGAAATTTTTGTAACTTTTGACCGTGGCCACTCAGAGCATGGCGGCCTCGTCAGAGAATCTTCGCCGGAGTTTCCGAGAGCTTTGGCAGCTCTGGAGGGGAGGTTGAGGGTTTCGCGCGGCCTCAGTCAGAAGATTGCAGGTCGTGGTCTGGCTAGACTTGAGTCCAGTGGCAAACAAAGGTTAAGGGTTTATCTCTTGCCGGAAAATATGGGGGCCGGAATAGATAGTAACATCATTCCCCTGCCTGTTTTACCGATATGACCAAGGTAAAACATACCACAAAACCTGATTTCATGCATGAAGGGCCTCATGGGAAGCCCCCCCCCCCCACACACTAATTAATTGGCACAGGGACCAGAAGAAATGAGCTTCCATAACTTCTGCAGTTTTGAGGAAGTCAGGCTATCCAGGATCTTGAGGCCCGAAGTGTGGGTGGTAGTGTCACAACAAGGCTCAGAGGAGCCAGAGAAGCTATGTCGCCTGACTGCAAGAGTTCTGCTCCTTTCGCTGTCAGGAATATCAGATCCAGACTTTTGGAGTGGGGTGGCGCGAGAGGGCACTAGTAGTAGGCCTGTATCGAAACAGAATGCCCGCGGCAGCTGAAGCGAGAGAGCACAAGGTGCAGGTGGAGGAGACCGACACATCCGAGGAGCAGGAAGTGAACGTGGGAAGGCGCTGTTTTTGGATGATCCTCAACATCGTGTCCTGTGCGCTGGCTTCTTGCCACAACAGCTAACCTCCCAAGCCCTCAAACCAAGTCTTAATCTCAACACCCTCGAATGAAGCACTTCAGCTGGACTTCGGACCTGGGATGCCTCAAGCCTAGCTCAATCCATCACCTGGGTGGAGCTACGGAGGGCCAGACCCGATTCGGGACTTTCGGAATCTTGCATCAGAGGTCACTAGTCTATAAGTACTGCGCGGTACGAAAACTCTGCCCTGTTCATTTGGTAGGAGCTTGAAAACTGGACATTGTTAACCGGCAACATGTCTTGTCGAGGGGCCCTGAGGCGATGTGTATATTTTCAGACTTGTATGTTGGCTGCGCCCGAAGCCAGATGATGATCGCGTATGCGTGTATCTATCTATCTATCTATCTATCTATCTATCTATCTATCTATCTATCTATATATATGTGTGTGTGTGTATGTGTGCACATGCACACATACATACATACATACATACATACATACATACATACATAAATACATACATACATACATACATACATACATACGTACATATATACGTACGTACATACATGCATGCATACATACATACATACATACATACATACATACATACATTCACATACGTGTCTATATAGGTATATACATAGACTGTATAGACAGATCGACCGATAGATAGATAGATAGATAGATAGATAGATAGACAGATCGATAGATATAGATAGATAGTTGTTGCAGGTTGTGTTTATATATATAACTATATATACATATGGTAATCTATATATATATATATATATACATATTATACATGCTAACACATGCAATGTATGTATGTTCTTTGCTTAACATTTTCATGCTGAAGAGGTTGTCTTGATCACTGGCTGGCTGACCTTCTGAACCCACCGACTGATGAACAGACGGACCGCCTTTCTGACAGATAGACAGATAGACAGATCGATAGTTCGTTAGACGGAAGGGAATATAGATATAAGGATAGAGATCCAGCTAGATATTGAGAGGTAAAGACACAAGAGATCGATACAGAGCGGGCAAGTGCAAGTGCTACGCCGTCGCTACATCATATACAATAGATGGGCTCCAAACATGAAGCCCTGAAACCCTGAAGCCCTAGATGACGTGGCATGTGCTTTGCAGGCATTTCTGAGACTTGACCTTCAGAAGGGCCGTTCAACAGACACGTTCAGTGGAGACTTTCTCGAACGCACGTAGTCTTGCAGCCTGTGCACTTTGTCGTAGTTTGAAGCTCAATAGCTGCTAGGCCTGCTAGGCCCTTCGTGCTAGTGACGCGGCTCCAGTGCTGTGGAGCAGATGGAGCAGGAACCAGTGCAGCAAACTAGGTCCCAAAACGAGCCTGCAGCGGTGCTGCAGGAAGAGCCGGCTTCACAAATTGCAAAGTCGTACGTGCAGGGGGAGACAGCGGCAGGGCAAGAGGCGCCCCAGGAGCAAGCATTGAGGGATCCGAAGCATCTCCAGAACTTCCTGGTCGAGGCCAACATCCGACTGTGGTGCGGCTGGAATACCTTTTCAAGCTCGCGGAGGCCGGTCGGGTCTGGCCGCGGCGCCAGGAGGCGGAGGTGGAAGAGTTTGAGGATTCCGATGGCAAGATCCGCACAGCATTGGTGACCATGGTAGAAATCCGCGATCCGAGTTTACAGCTCTCAGAAAACTTGCCGTTTGGAAGCAGGATCTTGTCTGTGTCACACACGTGGGAGTCCCAGCAACATCCCGACCCATGGGGTTGGCAGCTGCAGAGTCTCCTGCAGCATCTGCAGAGTAAGAGTATTGACGCTCCTCTCAACCTGACTCGGGAAGGAGTGGCTTTTTGGAGAGAACAATTCAATGTCCAGTTTTGGGTATTCATTGATTTTATGTGCCTGCCTCAGTACAAGCGCAGTGAGGAGGAGCAGGAATTCTTCACGAGAGCCATGAGGTCCATGCATCTGCTCTATGCGCACAAGCACATCTGCCGCGTCATTCGCTTGGAGGAGCTGACGCCTGAGAGCGAAAAATCGATTTCTGGTTCCATTAGCATCTATTGTGAAAAAACCGGCAAGTTTGAACTACGGCCCTTTTCTGAGTTGGTCCCGAACAGCACGCCGTACTTCATGCGGGGGTGGTGTGTTGCCGAAGTTCAATGGATGAGCACTAAGGCAGCGTGCTTTGGTTTTCCTCCAATGACACCGGCAGAGTTTAAGGAGCGGGTGGCTCGAGGCAAACAAGGGCTAGCAGACGGCTTGTGCTTGAAGTTTACGCACCGCTCAGATGTGGAACTTGTGACTCAATTGCAGGAGGTAGTCTTTCTGGAGCAAGCGAGGCTCCGCACCCGTTTGGTTGCAAGACTTCTGCCCCAGCAAGAGGTTGCCACCTTGACTAATGCTCTGCCTCATTTCGTGAATCTGGAGGAGCTCTTCATCGAGGGGGGCCCCTGGCATAGCATTTTGGAGCTGGCACGTTGTCTTGAACGCCTTCGTCCTGAAAAGCTACGATTCTTGAAGGTGCGGGGGATGGTCTGGACGATGCCGGTGCTAGAGCTCTTGCCAGAGCAAGTACCAGCTGCAAACGGCTGTCGCTGCTTGAGATAGAGGGTGGCAACATCGGAGATTCAGGTGCAGAAGCTCTTGCGGCAGCTGTTGTCGAATGCAAGCACTTGACCTGCTTCGATCTCCGCAAGGCTTACATGATTGGGGATGCCGGCATAGCAGCTCTCGCGGCAGCTAGCTTAGCAGTTCCATCAGTGAACTTCCGTATTGGGGAACACATCTCATCGCTAGCTGGTAAATTACAACAAAAGTGGGGCAAGATGACCACCTTTGGACCGTAGTGACAGAATCTTCTGCATAGTCCAAGACGTGTCCGACCTGCAAAGAGAAGGCATGCCGAAGGCATTGCTATTAGCTAGTGAATTCACAAGTGGTGTGCGACTCAGCGAAAGACTTGCTTCGACCATGCCTTTCCAGAGCTTTGTGGAGAAGTCCTGAACTTGGAATCCTTGCGTCGCACGGTTGTAGCCGCATCATGTTTGGCTCTTCGGCGAGTATGATGGTTTGTAAGACTTGGCACCCGGCATATGAATAGCTGGATCCTTGCATTCACCATAATCTCATTTGTCGAGATCTACAGAACCAGTCCAAGCAGAAACATTGCGTGACTGCTGGAGAGGTGGATAACATGGGTAGGTAGCTAAGTGGCCAGTTTCGCAGGTGGGCAGGCCGGCAGGTGCCCCAGGCAGGTAGTTACAGTAGACAGGTAATTACTTAAGCGCCTGTGTTTGCATGTGTCTGCCGGTGTTTACTGTAGCTATGCATAGTACGCATGCTTGCATGCATGCTTTGCAAGAGAAGGCTTCCCAATCCGAACTGGACACAACACACAAAGTCAGCACAAAGGGTGCTTTGAGCAGTATGCAGAGGTGTGTATTGTGTGCGGTGTGCAATGCTGTCCATCATACTTGCAGAAGTTTTACTACATGCGACGCAAACTGCATTCAGTGGTTCAGCGGCGAGGTTATCTTCAGCATCAGTGCGACCGTGATCCTGTCTGTGCCCCGCTTCGCCACCACCACATCATTGCACGGCAGCATTGAGGTGGCGACCGGTCGGCTGAACGATATTCAGAAGTCTACAAGTGATGCTGCCATTGTGCCTCTAGGGAGTTTGAGGTCCTAACCTTAGGCAGCGGCAGCAGTTTAGGACCTATCATGACCTATCCATATTAGAATCAGGCTCAGGACCAGGGCCCTGCAGAATTTGCATTGAACACAAACCTGCCTCAACGAGCCTCCTATACTCTGAAATCCGAAGGCCCTTAGGACCCTAAACACCCCAAACACCCCTAAACCCTAAAGCTCTGAAAGTTCGGAAGGCCCAAAGCCAGCCCGAAGCCATAAACTCTTGAGCGCTAGCAGGTCATTTGTTCGGCCTTCTTTGTCTTCGAATACGTTTTGCGGCTTTGCGCCTCAAGACGTCCCCTGCTCTATGCATTCTCTTGCCTCGGCGACCTAGCTTGCATAGAGTGGGTAGTTCCTTTGGGGTCCAGTGTTGGAACCCCATCAGACGACTAAGCTTTCTTGATCGTCGGGATGAAGTACAGCTATAAAGGACTATGGCTTAGGGCTGCCGTTTCGGGTGTATCCGGTTTAAGGCTTCAACAAAATGTAGTTCATTCGCTCAAGATCAACCGTCACAACTAAATTGAACACCCAAGCCGGGACCTGGAGAACCCTCCTGACAACCCTCCTCATCGTAGATTTGTCCGAAAGCTTTCAGCCGCACGTGAAGCGTGAGGCCCTTCTCAATATTGGTCGTTTGGTTTGCGCAGATAATAAACAGATAGGCTTTGAGGGTTGGGAGTAGCAGCCCAGGGCCTGTTTTCAGTCGTGCCGGCCTCGGTCTGCTGGACGTTTAGGGTTTAGGGCTTAGACCTCTACAAGAACCCTGAACTGTACACCCGAAGCTTGGAAAGTATAAATACATACGCTAATATACCGAAGCCTTCTTGAAGCCGTTAAAACTGTCCAAAACCTTGTACGGCTTATAAACCCTAAACTGAAAACCCTATACAAACACTCAGCATGCCAAAGCAAAGTTTAACAGTGCCTTGCCTTGGGGTAGGGGGTTGCTGTGCAGATTTGTATAAGGGTTGCCAGAAGGGTCACCTATATGGGTTGCTATAGCGGTCTTTCTATACCGCTTGCTTCTGGTAGAACGGTGAGCATAATCAAGGTTTCTACGCAGGTCGCTCTAGGGGTATTCGTTTACGGGTTATTATGACTATGAGGGCTAAGCTCCGCAAGCTCCAATCCGTCAACCCTAAACCCCAGATGAGCATCGTGCTCTGCCATGCGAGAGAGAAAGAACCCCAAACCCCCTCACCCTCAGGTGTCGTGGATCTGGTCGTTGCAGCCGGGAGCTTGCCGACTCTCATCATTCGGCTTACAGAGCTGGTGCAAGGACCCGGTAGCCGAAACACGTTTCTAGCGCCCTGAGCAACTCAACAAGCCATTCATGGTCACAATAATTCCTCAGGGGACCCCAATACATCAAAATCCATTTCCCCCCAAACCTCTGCTCTGCTCATTAATCTCAGGCCGTTTTTAGTTTAAATTATTCCTTATCGTAACCCCCAAAACATCTGTTCTGCTCATTAATCTCAGGCCGTTTTTAGTTTAAATTATTCCTTATCGTAAGCCCCAAAACATCTGTTCTGCTCATTAATCTCAGGCCGTTTCTAGCTGAAGTTATTCCTTATTGTAGCCCCGAAACTGCTCCGAGGCTTCCCTCCCCCGGCTTTAGCACTCACATCCCGCACCCCAGTTCCCGAAGCATTGGCGCAGACCGCTAAACCCTAAAACCCTAAACCCTAAAACCCTAAGACCCCTAAACCCTGAGCCCTAAACCCTAAAACCCTGAACCCTAAAACCCTAAACCCTAAAGCCCTAAACCCGGCAGTAGCCCTAAGCAAGGATCCTCAAACCCTTCTTGCAACCCTTCCGATACTCCTAAACCAGAAGCCCGAAACCCTGAGCCCATAACCCCAGATCCGAAACCCGAAGAGTTTAGGGTTGTAGGGTTTAGGGTTAAGGGTTTAGGGTCTAGGGTTTGAAGGGTTTAGGGTTAAGAGTAGCTTGCAAGCCTTCGCTTCGAGGACGCGGTCACGTGCACTTTTTCCATCCGCTCCTACCTCTTCGGATGCTTCGGCTCTTGAAGTGCCTAAGCCTAACAGAGCAGACGGTTTAGGGTTTAGGGTTTGGGATTTAGGGTTTAGGGAAGCCTACTTGAGGGTTCCCTTTTAAGGACTTCCATAAAGGCTTTGAAAGACCGTTCTATGCAGCTCCTTACTGTAGCGGTTTAGGGTTAGGGTTGGGAGTAGTGGTTTGGGCGCAGAAAGTTTTACGTAGGGCTTCCGATGTGGGTCGAGCATCATTTTGGGGGCACTTGATCCTAGATTTGACGTTTCTGTTGTAGTGTTACGGCTAGTCTCGATGTCTGCAAGAAGCTGGGCCCCCACCCCTGAACCAGGCTGATGTACTATTTGCCAGAATGCCGGCAGCTTTGCATCGCCTTGAAAGGCGTCGCGAGGTTCATCATGGTCTCTATCTCCCCCAGGAGTAACCTTTTGCTTTTTATTCTGCGGGGATGATAAATAAAAAAGCGTACCAATGACAAGAACCATCACCACCGTTTTTCTTCATCATCACCATCATCATTGTGATCATCATCGAAACAGCTATTAGTTGTTCATCGCAGCCCATATTAAGGGAGGGAGCCAAGGTTTTCCTGCTGGGAGTTCTGGTGATTGTCTTGATGCTGGGTAGCTGCTTGTACGTAGCCGAAGATGGCCACGAAGGCTTCGAATCTGGGCTCTGGTTTAAGACTTACATTCAGGGTTTAGGGTGTAGGGAAAGTTTTTGAAGCTACCAGAATGGGGATACCTTGAGTTTGACTGTATGTTTCAAGAAAGCATGCATTGACTTATGGCTTCTTGGACATGACTCTTATAGGGCTCCAGTTACCTAGACCTAGGTACTGCATTTCTGGGCTATGTTGTCATTGTGATGAGTAACAGGCCCCAGGCTACGAAGGCGAATTGCGGCTGTCATGCTATACAGAAACTATACAGGTAGTTCTCTAAATTAGTAGGTCCCCTTGTAGGTCCCCAAAATAGTACTGCGCCCTTGTAAAAAGCACCCGAAAAGGGACCCCAACTTACAGAACTACCCATATGACTTCCTACTAACTGCATATCTCCAGTCTGGCAACCCAGGAATCCATTCCTGCAGGGATGTGGTGGGCCACGGTAACAATCACGACCGTGGGCTACGGAGATGCAGTCCCGCAGACCGTGTTGGGCAAGATGTTCGCCTCATTGTCAATGCTGAACCGTGGCGTTTTTCGAGAACCAACGCATTGGTCAGTTTCGCTTGGTAAAGATTTCCAGCAGAATGCCAGAATCAACGTGCATAGGTGGATGTGAAAAGCTGCCGCGGCGAGGCATAGCGTAAAATGAATCCTGGAACCCTTTGCTATCTCAGCCTCATATAGCCCAGAACCCCGGGCCAAACGAGAAGTGACTTTAAGGTTCAGAGTCGAGGATTTAGGATGGCTCCAGAATCCGGCGACGGCGACCACTACGCAGACCCCACTATCATCGGCTACAAGCCGTGGTATGAAATTCCAAACCTAGACTTGGACCTTATAGGACTTTTCAGACCCCCCCTAGAACCTTCATACAACCTTTTGAGAAAGCCCATAAAGCCCCTAAGCCCTAAACCCCCGAATCCCCTATCACCCCACCCAAACCCAAAACACAACAGCGAAACCCTCAACCCTGAAGCCTAAACCCCATAACTCTTCGACCCTACACTCCAAACCCTGAACTCTATCTAAACCATAGGATTTAGGGTTAGGGTTTAGGGTTTAGGGTTTTCAAAAGAGCTGATGAGGATCGGCTATGGCATGCTCGCCATCCCAACACTTCTCGGCGCCTTCAGCATCCGGGGATCGGCGGAGGATCCTCGGCCCGAATTGTTCCGAAAGTCCCCAAAACATGACTTTTAAGGCTTTTAAGGATTGAGGCGATTGGGTTTCCAACTTTTTTGGTGCTTCTACTTTATAGTTCAGTCACATGCTGTAGTACAAACAGGGATGAAGTTGGTTCAGTGGGCACGAGTGAGTCAGTGACACCCCAAAGCCCTAGACTCCAAGCCGAAACGTCCACCAATGCAAGGGAATCCCTAAACCCTGAACCGAGTGCTCAACTGCTAGAGTTTGGAAGTCAATCTCGCCAAGAGCCATCGCCCTGATGTAATGCTGTAATGTATGTATGGTAGTATTTATGGACCCAGCCTTTCGAAGCCGAGGCACTGGGATGAAGGTTATGTGGGTGAGGGTTTCAGGTTGATGAATTGGGTGCTGGCTATGTACATGGCTTTGGGGCTTAGTCCTTTTTGGTTGTGTGGTGTTTTCGACTGGGAGTTCGGGCTTGAAGGCGGGTTTCTGATGACTTGGGTATGGAGATTGGGGCGAAGGCTTCTCGCCCAAAACCCTACAACCTGAACCCTAAGCCCCACACCCTAAGCCCTTACGTAGTGAACAAAGCCCTACAACCGGAACCCTAAGCCATTTCGTAGTGAAGTTCGGTTCAGGACCTCGGTGCTGTTAAACCCTAAACCCCTAAACCGGGTTTAGGGTGTAGGGTTTAGGGTTTGGGGTTAAACCGGGTTTAGGGTGTAGGTTTAGGGTTTAGGGTTCAACGGGGTTTAGGGTTTAGGGGAAACCCGAAGCCAAACTCAAAGCCCTGATCAGTGACCAATCAGCCCCAATCCCTAAACCCTAAGCCATCCCAAAGCCGTTTCCCGTGTTTCAGGGGCACCGGCCTTCTCAGAAGAGCTGAGGACCCCCGGAACAAGTCGAGGGCTTCCCAGCCCGCAGAGGATGTCCGCCTAAAGGAGAAGAAACTCGGCTGCCAGCGTCAACGATGCAGAAGAACCTGTATTCAAGTATAGGCCCCTTCCCCCCACAAGTCCTCACTCTCACCCCACATTGCACACGGAAGGACCGTATGTCTATCCCTAATGACTGAGCTCCCCTTAGCAACCCCGAACGAGAACTCCGACCCGAACATCAGTAGACCCCCAACACTGTACCCAAACAGTCCAACACCTCTGACTTCATTACAATACTCTATACATCGCCTCCCAAAACTTTGCTGATATGACAGTGTGCATGATTTAGGTTCGAGTCGTGTTGCCTTCCAGAATCGTGCTTCCGCCGCGCGGTGCAACTGGCTGGAAAACATATACACACATAATTAATATATATATATATATATATATATATATTCATTCAGGTCTTGGGCTTAATTCGCCAAGCCATCCCTAAACCCGCAAGCAACCCTAAAGTTCAAAGACACCACAACCATTCCTTATCCGCCTGCCGAAACACTTCATGACCAGAAGGTTTTGAATCCTGAGCCGAGGATTTTGTGGTCTGATGCAGACACACCCGAAGGCCTCGTGCCGGTGCAAATCCGCCCGGCGGACTGTGATGACTCCGGATACCTGATGCTCGGTCTGAAACCTTAAACCCAAAACCGGCTACCGGCAGCTCGGTCTGTGTAGGACCATCAGATTACAGCCGCACGCTAGCATGCAGTATGGTGCCAGCAGCAGCCCAGGAAGCACGCCGTGGGATTCTCGCTGCTGGAACAAGCAGTGGTTCAGTGGAGTTCCGCAGATGCCAGGTGGGCAGTTCTCTAAATTAGGGTCCCATTTTCGGTTCCCAAAACAGTACGGCACCCTCATAAAACAGGACCCCAAAAGGGACCCCAATTCAGAAAACTACCCAGGTACCTGACCTGGCCGGTGAAGGACTACTGGTTCCATGTCCCCCGATCTGGCAGGGACTCCTCGCGCAGCCTGTGGGCGGAGGTAACCCGTTCCGGCGACCTGTTGTCCCCTTCGTCATGTGAGTTTCGTGTCTCCTTTTATTCCACCATCCGGAGCAACTCCACTGAGACACCCGTCGCTCGTGGAAGCATCCGGTATGGACAAGAGAACTCGGAAAAAAGTATTGGAAGCCCGGTCAGTCTCAGCTCGGAAAGTGCGGGTCAACAGCTTAGAATTAGAAGTGCAACCCCACCGGCAGACATCGGCACCCGCCTGTCTACAGCTTTGTAACGTCACCAGTCACAAGTCCTTGCCACTATCCTCGGAGAAGAGGCGGAGTTGAGTAGTTAGTTGCCGGCTGCTAGGATCTGTGCGACGACCACCATAAACTCTCAGCACGAGGGTGTTATCAACCTTTGACACGATCTTAAACCCTACGTCCACAATGCTTAGGTCAATTTGAATTCGAGGCGTCAGCACTGCAGCCAAATAGAGCAGTCAATTTTTTCGGAACTCTATGTTCCTGAATATCAGTATACTCTTAGTACACCGAAAGCTTGTTCGCTTTATTAAGGAAGGATTTCCACACCGCCGCCATCTCCTTCCGGGCTCAAACCATTCAGGGTTACTGGGCCTTTTGAAGTGTTCCTGGAACCCAAAGAACCTCATAAAGCCCCCGACCCCGAAGAACCCGCCAGCGCCCCTCCCCCTCCCCCCGGAATTTCCCCTGAGACCCTGATCCTTAACAATTGAAGTTTTATTCCAAGGTATAGTGCTTTCGAAACTCATAACTTCGACCCTAAAGCCTAAACCGAAACCCTGAGGCTCCCAATTCCCCTCCCCGCTTCAAGTTCGAACCCCTTTTCAGCCGGAAACTTCAACCAATGGCATCCTCGGCCACCCGCACGGTCCGCTCGGCCGTGAGCAAAATCATTAGCACCTTTACCGACACTGGCTCCGACTCTTGGCTGTCTCATTCATGCATGCATGTGCCCATGCAAATGTCCCACTCATACTTGCACACAGGTGCTTGCATACCTACTTACGTACTTGCTTACTTACTTATTCACGTACATGTCTTCATGCACTTACCCACACACACACACACGCAGATGCGCAAGCGCAGTCGCATGCAGAAACATATACAGGTGCACCATGCATGTCCAAACGTATACATTTACATACATCTGTCTGTGAATGTATATATATATATAAATATGACGCATATGCATGTACACAACCAGGTACATACACGGATACACATGCCAGCCCAGGTAAACATCCGTTTACGTATGCATGTGCAAAAAAACATATGCACAGAGAGATAAGCATGTATGTATATGTACATGCGTACGCACAGATATAGTTGCGTGCAGCGGTCTTGTATTATGTTAACTTTGACGGTTCCATGTTCTAGCAACTCTAGTACTTCATGGAAAGTTTCCGTTGCAGCCTGAGTTACACATATTTGCTGGGGCTTTTCGCCCTAAGCTTTATATGCTTTGCAAATGTCATGCCGTCGTGACCGTCCTTGCCTGGTAGTTGCGAGTGCTGCAAAGCCCGAAACTCAAGCGCTTCCGGGGGCTCCGGGTTTAGCTTTTCTCTGGTTTCCGGTCTGTGGGACGAATAGGTAGGGGGGCATTCGGGCATGTGGCTGGGATTTTAGGCATTCAGGTGTCAGGCTTTGGGTCTGAAGGAATGTCGTTCCCAGAGGAAGGCGCGGACACTTGCAGCTCAGGTACGCGATCGGTATGTCACCTGAATGAATTCGGATTTAGGGTTTAGGGCTTGGGAGGTTGGATCCGGTTACCTTACACGCAAGGACTGATATGAAAAACAACTTCAACATATCCCGGAAAAGTATCCTCGTCACCAGTACCTGCAATGAATCTCTTCAGAAGGTTGCATGATGCGGGATTCTGGGCTCTGGGTGAGGTGTCGTTCATAGCAGGGACTTGATTTTAATTGCTGGGATCATGCTATAAGGAGGCGTCCCCTCAGGAGGCTCTGAGTGTTGAAGAGGCCAGAGCAGGAATGGAGTTTCGGGGATTCGAGTGCACATCTCGGGGTCTCCGGACTGGGTTGATGTGTTGAAGTGTGCTGCACTTCGCTGTGAGACTGCCTGTCCATGGGATTGGGGCCTGCACAGGGTGCCGTCTATAGAATCTAGAATTGACAACTCAGCCTCATCCGGAAATTAAAGGTTCGTGAGCTGAATGCAGTGCCCACATGGGATCAGTAGCATAGAAAGTACAATCTGCTCTTCGAAAGCTGTGATCATCCCCTCCGAGGTGAGTTTGGCTTCGCCAGATGACCTCCACCACACGGAGCAGTCGCAAGAGTTTGTGAACCGAAAGTTCTGGCTCACCTTAAACCTCCTCTCCATTTGCATCGTGTCTCGGTGCACTTGGTGCTTCAACTTCTGATCTCCTGCATCAGCCGTACACAAAGGCCGACATGACTGCCCTGCTTCTACAACCAGAGCTAGTAAAGTACAGTAGTACGTCGACGACGGCAACGACGAGGATTTCAACGGCAGCTCACAGTAGACCTCAAAAGCTTTAAACTGGGCTGCTGCTAAGGATTTCAATAGGGGACATATTGTAAATAGTAGGGTTTCCTTATTTCAGTACTGAAACAAGTTCCTCAACAGCAACCCAGTAAACCCTACACCCGAGATCTTAGAAGCCGCAGCTTCAGACGCCCCAACCCCCGAGATTTCTCGACCCCTGGGGTGCACTGCACCTCTGGGCTGCTCAGTGAGACCATTACAAAAACCCTAGTAATGACACTATGGTTTGGTACAGTGTAGCATACTTGCAGACATACTATGCTGATTCTACTATGCTCCAGCATGTTGAGGTCGTAATCAGCGTGATACTGACGGTGGTCATGTCTTTGCCGGAGGTGGGCTTCGGCGTGAGATTCAGGGCCAACAAGGACATGAATAAGCAGCAGTTTTTTCTTTGAGCTACTTAAAACAGTAATGCATAAACGAAACGATACCCTGTAAGAACGTGTAACTTGTAGCACCTTATTTTAATGGTTAAGGTACCCATATTGAAGGTGGTCGCAGGGTGGTTCATTGAGTTCAGTAATTTGGGGATTAGGATTTCCTCCAAGGCTGTTCGAGGAGTGCTTGACAAGTCGGGGCTGGGAGGTACTGTTAGGTTCGAGGAAGTTCACGTTTTTGGGTTTAGTCCGGGCGTGAGGCATAAGATCCAGGTTCAAGAGAACACGAAATGGTTCAGCTCTGCCAGGCGAGACTGTGCAAGGCTGCTGCAAACGGGTTTAAGTGTTCGAGCTTGCGCAGCCACTGAATGCACACACACCCACACACTTTGTATGTGCTGCTATGTGCTACTTCTATGTTTCGTGTACGAAACTAGTGCCGGGCATGAGCCCTAGACGTAAAGTGCTCCTGCAGCAAACCCAGCACAAGGAGCAGGAGGAGGTGTAGGAGTAGGAGTACGCATAAAAGGGCATCGGAGTAGGAGCGGGATTAGGAATAGGAGTTCGTGGTGTTGCTGCTCGTAGTAGCGGTCGCCGTCGTCGTAATCGTAGTAGTCGGCGTGTCCTTTCGGGAGATGCCCGCGGCATGGAGGTCCGGTCCCATTCCTCCTACACGCGGATGTACGATGTGGTGGAGATTGCTTGCGCAGCCTTCTTCATCGTCGTGCCTCGGGCGGGATGAAAGAGGTTTGTTGCCGCTTCTTTTTGTACGTACGGCTACAGCAAGAAGAGCGTCAGCAGCAGCAAAAGCGATTACTATGACGACCACCGCCACCACCACAACCACGACTAATACTACGAAAGGATGGTGGCGATGACGTCATCGACGAACCACTGATACAACTGCCACCACTAGCACTACTACATGCTGCCGTGACGACGACATCCGTGTCTGTGCAGCCATGACTTCACTGGTCAACCACTCCAGCAAGCACTGGAGTTATCCTTCAACCCAAAAGGAACACCATTAAAGTAACAAGTACTCATGCAGGACCCATGCGTTGATCACTTTGGCCAGGGAACAGCAGCAGTGACGACAGTAAATCGGAACCTCCCCAATGAAGCAACAATGCACCTCCGTACCGTGAAGGCGGAACCCTGGATCCCTCAACTCCTAAACCGTCGCCTGACCTCTAAACCCTAAAGCCTAGAAGCTGGGACCCGGAAGTGGTCGAGGTGTGATCTTCCCCGGCACACTAAGCCTAAATCCTAAACCCTACACCCTGAAACCCTACAGCCCTTACCGCATGACATTTAACCCTAAACCCCTACAGCCCTAAACCCGAAACACCAAGCCCGAGATCGCTAAACCCTAAAGCCCTACACCCCTAAACCCTAGAACCCTACAACATCCTATCGCCTATACAAAGTCAAAACCCTACGAGGAGTATCTTCTGCGAGTTCTCGGATCGGGGAGCAGGCGGTTTTCTTACGCCTTCTCTGCACTTGGCCTTGTGGACTTCGTTGTGGCTGTTTCTTTCCTCTCCTAGATAATATAGGGGCCTTAGTAATTAGAATATGGTTTGGGGTATATTATACTATAGTTATCATAAGGAACCCCCAAAAACCAATTCTAATTTTTAAGGCCCCAGGCCTTCTTGAGAGGGTCCATATCCCCAAGGATCCCCACCCTAACTCCTGTACTCTACTTGAAGAAAACAAGAAAACAATACGGCTTGGGGTTTGGGGTTTAGAGTATTCCATACTAATTGCACTATATGTACAATGCCTACCCTGGTACCTTAACCTTTTCTGCTTTCGGGGCTTCGGGGAACTTCGTTGACTAGTACTAGTGACCATAGTGGTCCTTCACAGCCAGCGCTTTAAGGTAGTTAGTGCCGCGAGCGCCCGAATCGTTGCACCAGATAGCATGGTAGGGAAATCTTCGCAGGCCGATGTAGTCTTCCCTAAACCCTAAAAACCGTAATTCTCGACACCATGAACATGAGGCCGACCTGCGAGCAAATCGATATGCAGATATGCAGCACTGTGGCACTGCTAAGTTGCAAAAGAACTGTCTAAGCCGAGTCTTGCTGCTTTGGCAGCATGACCGTTTCAGTGCAGGCTGGGTGCTGAGGTTCCGGATGCTTCGGAACTGCTGCATCACCAGCATTTCGAAATAGCCCCGCCTCGCAAGCAGAGAAGGCTGACCACGCAATAGTGCTACTGGCCTCGAGGAATCCATGGCAGCGGCACAAAAAAGACGAGAACATGAACCACCAACGAGAGGAAGCGCCAACAAGTGTTGCCACGACACAAGATGCGCCCAGGACTAGGGCTAGGACAGAACTGCTGTAGTTTTTCTTTTCTACATCTGAATGCGAACTCCGAAACGGTGAACCAGAAAACCCTAAGCCCCTAAACTGGGAGGGAAGAGCCAGTTAGGCTTCCTCTGCCGCGGCCATCGTCACACGCTATCGTTCCCTGGGCAGCACATATTAGAGTCGGAATAGATCATTAATTCTTTACGTAGGGTATACAGGGCTTAAGGGTTTAGGGCTTAGGATATATAGGGCTTAGTGTTTAGGGCATATGGGGTCTGTAGCGTGTAGCGTTCACCTGACCCGAAACAACCTAGTACTAGCTTTACTAGGGCTCCTTATCAGGACTTCCTACTCAGAGTCCTTCAAGAAGGGCTTGCTGACTTAACCTTACACCCTGCACCCGAAACCCCTTAACCCTGACCTAAACCGTAAGTCACCTACTTTGTAAGGACTTGTATAAGCAAATCATAGTAAGGAGGCATAAAACGGTAGGATATTGTGGTTACGGCAAGCCCTAAAAGCGTAGGTCAAGGAAGGGGTTCAGACAACATGATCTCAGGTCTCTTCATGGAAAGGCCCCCTCACAGCCCAATAAGCCCTAAACATTACACCCTAAACCCTAAACCCAACAAGCCCTAAACCCTATACCCAGTAAGCCCAAAACCCTACACCCTAAAACCTAAAGCCGTAAGCCCCACAGCCTGAACCCTACAGCCCTAGAAGACCTCGAGCCTCTGTAGCTCAAACCCCCACTCCGGAAGCCCTCATATATCACCTATACTATTTGGGGCTTCCTTATTGTAGTTTGAGTATAATATACTCGAAACCCTACTATAACTATTAACTATTAAGGTCCCTATGGTACAAATGAACGCTATAAGCACTGAGCTCCTTAAGCCGCGCAGTCCTATAGGCCCACACCCTAAATTCAGGTGCTGGTAACTAACCTTTAGCCTTTGGGGGTATGTATAACCCTACCATAAACCAATAGGTTAAGCTTTACTGGGGCTTACCGACCCAGCCCCTATACTTCTAAATCCTAAAGGCATGAGTCCCAGATGCCCAAACCCTAAACCCTAAAACTCTAAACCCTAAAGCCTAAACCCTAAACGGGGAGCTCGGGACCTTCTCTTGCCATGCCAGCCTTGTGCGAGTGTGTGAGTCGAAACCCCCGTCAAGTGTGACTTGGAGTTGGTGTGTGGGGCCGGATTGGAGCCCGGCCTGCCTCCAAACCCCAAAAGGCCGCAAAGGCCCTAAACATGTAAATCTTGCAACCTAAACCCGAAACCCTCAGCCCTAAATTTTCACCTTACAGGCCCTAAAAGCCCTAAAGCGAAGGCGACCTGCTCGGGCCGGGCGAGGACGCTGACCTTTGCCAGCCTCTCGTGTGCTTGCGGATGCTTCGACTGCTGAAGCTGGATGGCACTGTGGGAAGCCTTTGAGCTTTTTTGGGGTGCCAGGGAGGGTTTAGTGTTGAGGGTTTAGGGTTTAGGAGGTACCTGTTTCGGGGTTTGGTAGTGTGTAGGGGCTATTCATAAATCGAAGCCAGGGGCGAGTAGATTGCAACCCAGGAAGCTCATGCACTACATCCGGGAGTGTCGGCAGCTGTCGCATGCCCTTAGCAACGAGTTCCGGTTCATCAATGTCTTCCTCTTCGGAATCCTGGTCATCGCGCCATGGATGCCCTTTCTCACCCGTCCGGTTGTTCCGTTCAAGGGAGAGATCAAAGCTGTAGGATTCCCCGCCGAGGTGCTGATGCTCGGGACATGCCTCTATGCAGCCGAAGATGGTGCAAACGGCTTCGAGTCAATTCCACATGGAATGTGGTGGGCCACAGTGACTTTGACGACTGTCGGTTATGGCGATGTCGTCCCACAGACTTCGCTGGGCAAATTGTTTGCGGCCCCTTGTCAACTCGTTTCTTCGTCTCTAGTTGGGCAGTATTGATGTTCCAGCCTGCCGCCGCTGCTGCTACAAGGACGACGACGACGACTACAACGACCACTACTACTACAAATACGATTACTAAATATAGTAATAGTTTTATTATTGTTAGTATTAGTATTACTATTACTTCTTCCACAGTGGCTACTACTACATTTGAGGGGGGCATTACAGAACCGCTTTCATTAAACGACGTTTGGTCATTTTGTTTTGTGGGCCACTGTGGTTTAACGAGGGATGCAATCGTAGGAGCTGCTGTTGCGGAGTGTTCGTTCGCACACAATCCAAGCCCATGCTGAAAAGGGTTATTTTGCTCGTGTTTGTCATTGTGCTTTTTCAGGGGGAAGTAGGGATGTGTCATTTTTACAATTTTGGTTGTTTTGGTCGTTTTGGGGGCGGCCAAGTGACACGTCATTTTGGTCCGAGCAAAATGACGTGTCACTTTGCCCTCCCTCCTTGACCATGGTGCAAGCACACTCTACCACTACTGCTACAACTACCACTACCGCTACTAGAACGTTTGTACTATTCTTCCTCTGCTGTTCAGAACTCTATGTCTGCAGTTTAAAACAGCACTTCTTAGCGGGCATTCCTGATATGGGTATGCTTTCGAACAGACCACTGGCAGCCGAAAGCCATGAAACCTCGGAGCCCTGACCGGTCAAGCCCTGAGGGTCTGAGGCGTGATGTTGCAAGCCGGTTGCCAGAAGAAGGGGTTTCGGGTTTCGAGTCTAGGCTTCAAGATCTTCATTTTTGCATGTCTGCCATGACCAGAATGATGCAGGAAATGGAGGGTTAGGATCCCCTACACAGCTTCCCCAATATGACGATACCCATAGCCCAGTATAGACCCAGAGGCAAAATCCTTATCCAGGCTTGCTCTATGTTGATTGGCTACGGCATTCTGGCCGTCCCAACTCTACTCTCAACCTTTCAGACGACGAAGCAAGGTCTGCCAGTAGTATTTTTTTTACCCAGTTGGGGTCCCCAAACTCGAACCTGCTATCCCCTAACAGTTTGTAATCCCTAAAACCCGTCAATCCTCCGTACTATTCATACTTTACTACAGGAAACCCCATATAAACCCTTAAACCCCACGTGCTATTCTATTGTGACGGTTTACCCTTTAGGTTGTAGGGTTTACCCTAACCCAAAATAACCTATATAACCTGTTTTGAAGGATTCATAAGAAGGAAATCAGAGTAAGGAGCGCCCCAGAAAGTTGGCTTTATAGGCTCTGGTGGGGAAGCCCACAGCCCTAAACCCCGAACCCCAAACACGAAACCCCCCAAACCAAGGAAGATCCAAGCCGAGCCGGGTATTCCCCTCACCGACCTCCGGAGCCCGACCAGGACTGGTCTCGAAGAATCTTTAGAACCCTATTTTAGAATCCTAAACCCTGAACCCTAAACCCTAAACCCTAAACCCTGAACTTTCCAGAACCCCACAATAGAGCCTTATGACCCACTTTAAAGAACCTTATGAGGGGAGCCTGCAAGTTGGGGGCTCAGATGCTTGATGTCCGGCTGCCTTGTGGTGAGACTTTGTGGAACCAAGTCCGTAACTCCTGGCATAGAAGCATGGCTATCAACTTGTATTTAGGGTTTGGGGTTTAGGGTTTTAGGGTCTGGGGTTTAGGGCTAAGGGTTTTAGGGTTTAGGATTCTGTTGCTGCCTGTCACCTTCCCAGGCCGACGTCACAAGCCCGGATGCAAAGGGTTTAGCTGAGTCCTCGGACATTCAGCACGTGTTGTTGATGTCAGCACCAGAGCTCTGTTGGCGAATGTGGTGCCTCGTCACCTAGTATAGTTGTTGCAGCTCATGATGACGGTGCTGATGGCGAAGGTGCGAGTTGTACGAGTATACTATGCTTCGACAGCAAGCCTTGTCTAATTGTCGTTGTGTCCGAGCCTGCACTGCGTGATTGTATGCAGCCAACTAGTTTGTGCATTGCAACCATCGTCCAAGCTGCACGGCCATGGTTGCTACTTGCTATGTTGAGCCATGGCGCGGAAGGGTGGTTACGGCAATGCTGACTTCAGTACTGTCTGTTTTTGTTGATCCTCCATCGCGTTTGCCCTCGTCCCTGTCTGGAGAGACTTTTCCTCAGTTAGTCCTAAACCCTAAACCCGACAGTACCTGTGCTCTCACTATGTTTTGATTGTTTCTCCGGTAAGCCCTGCATCATTTAGCCTGCCAGCCCTAGCCGCCCGGCAGTTTTGGGGTCTTCAGGATTTAGACTTGAGCCCAGTGGTACAAGGTTGCGGCTTCAGGACGCCTAAACAGATCCTAAGCCAGGACCGCCATAGACCTGGACACATCGGAGCATACTGAGTTTTTCGTTGTGCAGCCACGCGCCAGCGATATCGATGGGTGGCGATGCCTGAAGGCCAGCGCGGGCCCAGGCTTGCTTGCTGCTTGCGATTGTTTGTCACTCTTTTGGGTTCTAGTGAAAAGTTGAGGGTTGGGGCCTGGGGTATGTATAGGATTTCACTTCGTTCCGTCCTCAGAATTTGTAAGTCCCACACCCCGAAACCCCAACACCCTAAAGCCGCGAAGCCATGTGCCCTAAGCTCGTCCGAGGAAGAAGTGATGGTGCTATGGAGTCGTCGGTGTGGTGTGAACATGTCGAACTGGCATGCATACCACTATTCCTTTACACTTTCTGTACCACTGCAGCAGCTGATGGAGGAGAGTGGCTAGGCTCTTGCTGAGGCCTTTAGAAATGCATGGCTTGTAAGGTAACTTAAGTTTCGTAGATAGGTCTCTTACCACACCTGTATGAGACCCCATAAACATCCGTTGAAAACAAGCACTTCTCCGTCCTGTATGAACCCTGCGACAGATGTCAAGAAAGCCTCAAAACAGAGCATAAAGCCCTATAACACCCGTATACCAGAAGAACCCAAGTGACCTATAGGAATTCAGAACTGCCCTTTGAATCCGAAAAAGTCGTCGACCACGCCCAGGTGACCTATATGTGCAAGTCCTGGCATGTCCCAATGCCGATTCAACCTCGGATTTTCAGCTGATCTTTCATTGCGGGAAAAGTCCTTTGGTCAGCAGTGATGGATTTAGGCGAAGTTGAGGGTATGTACGGATTTAGGGCTTTGGGGTGTCCGGGTTTTCGGGTGTTTGGGGTTGGGGAAGATCAGCTCTGCAAGACCTGCCAAGGTTACAGCCCTGACACCCTGGACCAAGCTCTGGCCGAGGGTCACGTGCGATACTTTCTCTCCGACTCTAGCGCCGAATAAGGCATTTTCCTTGCACAAAGAGAAAAATGGGAGCATCGCGCAACTGTTGTGGGATTAGATGCACCAGTCGACAAGCCCTCGGCAGAAATCACAATCTTACTCAGGACTTTCTTCAGACGATGCTCTTCTAGCAAAGCCTTTGGGTCCTGGGAGCCGATGGTAGAGTTTAGAGGTTCAGAAAAAGGCTTAGGGTTTAGGGGATCTGAAAGAAACTCGGGGTGGAGTGGAGAATTGCTTGTCAGACAGAGCTTGCACGAGACCCGCTGCCTAGCTGAGCAATGAACGCAGCTTCTGGCCCGAGGAGGCACGACCTAAGCACTGCCTGTTTCATTGCTCCTGGCGCCATGCGGATTCTGTCGCCGGAAATCGCAAAGCGCTTCGAAGATGAGTCTGAGTCTGACGACGAGTCAGACGACGCGGCTGAGAAGAGTGGGCATCCCTTACAGTGGCTTGATTTATGTACACTTGTGGTGACAATAGTGATTCTCATCGCTATCGCACTTGGGTTCTTTGGCTGTCTGGACCTGTCTCATCGCGTGGCCGTGTCAGGTGAGAGAACTTTGAGCCTTTCAAACTTCACCTCCGAGGCCCTAAATGCCTTGAAGCATGCACTGAGAGCATCGGCTGGGGACTTGCGTCATCAGCTTCCCACGGAGATCGATAACATGATCGATGGCTGTGAGGTGATTGAAACCAAGGCACGGGACTTGGTTCAACTGGCTGAATCTGGGCAGATTCTGCAGGGTACCGCGCAGGGAGCCTACAAGAAGCTGATGCTGATGCTTTATGTGGCCTCACGAATACTGCTTGAGGTCGAAGAAAGCGCCTCTGTTCAACTTTGGCACAGAATATCAGCATGTGCAGGGCAGATTGTTCGACAGTAATTACGGTCCAGCTTCGGCTGTTTCCTTCGTTTGCTTCCATCAGGCCCCCTATGAAGAAAAGAATCGCGACACCACAGCTGTGCGAAAACGCCCCCACTTGAACAGCAAAAGCTTCAAGCCCAAACCACGAAGCATCCGAGTTTTTCAATGCTTCTCTATTCAAGCCCAAGCTGCGAAACCCCAAGAGTCGAAATGTGGTAGATCCTAAACCGATGGACTTTGGCGATTGTTGCTTGCAGCTCGCTTCAGCTGATTTTCGAATTCCGCTTGAAGCTGAACTCCTTGATTGGCAGTCCGCTAAGATGCTTTGGATTTGGGGCCCCCTTTGCAAAAGGTCTTGACCGAGTGTAACAACATGATGCCAACAGCTTCAAAACGCACAGAACGTTGGGAGATAGGCGAAGCGCCGATGGCCACCCGCACAGACCAGGCTCCGTCGTACTGAAGGTATAGACCTCGGAAAATTTTGAGCTCCAAACATTCAAGCAGGAAGCCCTACGTACACTAAACCTCGGACCCTTCAAAGCGGAATCAGGAATAAAGTCCATGCCCTGGGAGAAGATCTCGAAGTAGCTGGACCGCAGAGGACAGTTTACCTTGCGCGGGGATACCGTTTTGGGGGTGGGGGGGGTTGAGGGTTTAGGGCGGCTTAGGGCGTTATCTGCCTTTACTCTTGGTGCGAGTGGGGCTCGTGAGCACAGGAAAATATCTGTTTGGAAGTAGAATCGAGGCACCGGGATGCACAGGGTACCCTGCCCAAGTAAGTGTGCGCTAGTGTGAGTGTGTGTGTGTGTGTGTGTGCGCGTGCGTGCGTGCGTGCGTGCGTGCGTGCGTGCGTGCGTGTGTGAAGAGGTTTAGAAAACGGGGGCATGACAGAAATGCTACCTTAAACCCTAACCCTATAGAGTAGACCCCCAAACGCCATGAACGGAAAGTGCAAGATTCGAGGCACCTAAAGGAGTCTGTCATACACAACCTTTTCATGGAACATAATCAACCCCGTAAAGTACAAGCAGACCTTTCGAGGTACCTTAAAAGCCCATCTTGTAAAGTATAAACCTTTCATCATTTGGGTTGTGTTGTATGAACCATAAATGGACCATAAAGCCCTTTTGGGCCTTTTGGGCTTCCTTTGGCCCTTCAGGTATATGGCCTCCGCAACGAGCTCCATGCGGCGGTTCGAAGCCGGTGCCCAGCGTCTGAGCGAAGTTCAGAACTCGCCTTCAGAGTTACTTTTGGGGTTCAGGGGGTTCAGTACCCCAAACCTTAGACCAGCTCTAGGACCAAATGACCCTTAAAGAGCATGTGGCTCTGAGGTTACAAGCCAGTAATAAGAGCCATAAAGCAGTTGAAGCTTCGTGTGATCCTTAATGGTGGTATACTTTCATTAGGTCTGAGCTAGTTCAGGGATGTAGGGGTGTAGGCGAGTAGAGGTGCCAGGATCTGTGGTTATCCACCCCAAGTTCAAGTATCCGCTATGAAGAGCTCATCGTTAACTTCAGAAAAAGCGCAAGCAACAAGCCGCTAGTGGGTTCTGGAGTTCCATAATGGAAGTTCAGCATTTGAAAATTTCGTGTGCAAGTTCACAAGCTTATGGGAGCTATGTGAGCTTTTATGGAATGACATAATAAACCCAGGGGCGTTTGAACGTAGAATGTGTTTGCTTAGAGGTTTGGGGGTGCCTGTGCTTATACATACCCCAGGGCTTGAGGCTGTTTAGGGTTTCGGGTTTGGGACCGAGGGTAGGAGTATCCAATTCAAACCCAGGGTGCTGGTGAGGCTTTGGCTTACGTCCCAAGGATGCGTGCCCCTCCATACTTGGCACTCGTACTCTTTATATGCAGCTCGATACTAATCACGTGCTCTATTCTTCAGGCGCCCTAGATTACGCATGTCGTGCTCACTGCTTTCATCTCCGCAGGTTGTTGGCACCTCACCTGCCAGCGAGAACGCAAGAGGTGCCTGGTCGAACACAAATGCATGCTCGGAGAATCCCTAAACCCTAAACTCGGACCCTCTTGAAGCCATGCCTGCATTGTGCGAGTGTGTGAGTCGAAACCCTAAACTTCTGAAGCCCTAAACCCCAAACCCC